CACCCCCCAGAGGGGATGGCCACGCCGCAATCCCTTCTCCTCCATTCTCCTCTCGGGATCTTGGGCACGCACGCACACGTGCCCGGCGTGAGTTTTAAGCCACCCGGTCCAGGATGCGAACCGCAGTCGACTATGTGGGAGTCCAGCGACATAGCCATTACACTAACTGCTGGTCCCTATTTTATTCAACTTTATTTACGTATGCATTTTAATTTGACCAAAGAGGGGGAGAGAGAGAGAGAGAGAGAGAGAGAGAGAGAAGGAAAGTGAGAAAGCAAGCCACCAGGCCCGGGACTCGAACCATGGTAGGCCATGTGGGAGTCCAGCACCTCTAACCACCATGCCGCCTACTGGCCCCACACATCAAACATTTATCTTTGTGGTAATAATGTTCAAAATTCTGTCTTCTAACCATTTTGCAATATATATTATTGTTAACTGTATTCACCCTACCTTATGATCCAGCAATCTCACCACTGAGCATATATCCAAAGAAAATAAAATTGCTGCGTTAAAGTTGCACTCTGTTCCATTCCCACGTTTACTGAAGCACTATTCACAACAGCTAAGATATGAAACCAACTTCAGTGTCCCTCAGTGGATGATTGGGTTAAAATGTGGGGGAGGGCCCAGCCTTGGTGATGTGCCCTGGTATGCTGCTGTGCTTTACAGACTGGATCACATTGGAGACTCAGGTTCACTTCTTAGTCCAATCCAAAGGCCTGGCAGGTGGTATGTGTCTATATTCCCAATGGCTTGGGAGGCTGACGTTCAAGGATCACAAGCTCAAGGCTGGTCTGGGCAACATAACGAGAACAGCAAGAACTTGTCTAGAGGAGCAAGGGGCATGGTGGCATGTGGCTGTAGTCCCAACTGGGAGGCTGAGATAAGAGGATCATGACATGGTGAAACTTAAATATGTACACAGATGCGCGTGTGTGTGCATGTGTGTGTGCGTGTGTGTGTGGTATATATACACAATGAAATACTACTCAGTCATAAAAATTAATGAAATCTGGTTACATTCAATAATACACACAAACCTGGAGAACATTTGTTAAATCAAATAAACAAGGCACAGAAAGACTTTTTTCACTCAACATTTTCTTTGTTTAGAATGTTCTGTTTTATGGCTACACCATTTTTCCTTATTCAGCCCCTTCTTTTGAACAGTTAGATTATATCCAATATTTTACTTTTTTTTTTTTTTGGAGAGGTTTTTTCACTATAGGGCACATGCGCTCGCCAGACAGAGAGAGACATAGAGACA